TTAAATCGGACCTCCACGCAACTCGGGAAGCTTGTGTTTCGAATATAAGGCTAATTTCTATTCAGAAACATTTTTTAGTAATTTTTTCCAGAAATGCTCATTGACATACATATTATCCATATCCTCAAAATTTGACAATTCTTTGCCTTATTTTTTGAGAAAAACTAAATCATTTGCAGCAGGTTTTGAATTGCGCCACAAGCCAAGAAGACCTCTTCTATTTTCACATAATTTTTTTAGTGCGTTTTGCCCGTCCGTACGGACCCACTTCTGCCGTTTTGAACTATTTCTAGAAGAATCGTCCTAGAGTCCTGTACCGTTTTCTACCCTTCTTTCTGCCCTCTTATCAAAGTACGGAGTGGAGGGGGAGAGGGGTACTCACAAAGGGCGATTGAGACGTATGCAAGAAATATCAAGTGAATACCAAAGAATTCCAGTGAAGTGTCAATGAATACCCGTGTGGCGCTGTTCAGTTAAAGCTGAACTGTGGTGCTAAGGGTCCCTGGTTCGAATCCGGGTTCGGGCATGGATATTTGTAAATGTATAGTGGGTTGGGTTGGTAGAGCTGCCTTGGATGAAACCCCGCCCACTCAAAAATAAAGGCAAAATAAAATAAAATAAATAATATCAGAGACAACCTACGATTAAAATTGAAGTGAGTGACTGGGTCACCATACCACGGTGATAGTAGTTTTCGCTTACTCTGTGATCGGTTTCACATCGTTACCCCGTTTCAAACACACAAATTATTATTATTATTATTCTGTGTATTTTAATAAATCAAATACCTACGAACCACTAAGTAACCAGTGGTTGATGGGTAAGGTGAAAATTGTGCAAATTTGCATTCGGATTACAAGTCTACCTCCTTATCAGCAAGTAAGGGATAGGGAATGCTACAACAGATGGAGTTTCAATTTTGCAAAATCAGATGTTAAGAAGAAAGTGGGCAATACGCCAATCCCCCTTCCCACCCCCAAAAAGTTACCTAACAGTAACAACAGTCAATTCATGTAATGAGATTTATTAGAAATTACCAAGCAGAGTACAATTTTTTCATGATCTGGTATGATCAAGCGGGTTAAAAGAAACTAGTTAGTTACAAAGTTGGTAATATACTGGGTGTCTAAATCAAACGCTGCACTCTATCCAACTACAATCCATTGTAGTGGAAACGTTCTCGTTTTCCGATTAAAAATAAATTTCAAGATGCTGATAGAAGCCCAGCAAAATAAGAAACACATCAATGCTAAAATGTTTCAACAGGTTTCTCTTTCATGTAAAAATCTCATTAGATAACAATCAGATGAAATCAATACAAATTTACATTAGAAAAGTTTTGTTTTCCAATACAATAGAGAGACGTCATTGCAATCGATATACTCACGAGTAGTCGACAAAAGGCGCGTACAAAACCTTGTGTCATTCTCAGGCTTGAACAAGTCGTATTGTTAATGGGCATTGCAGAAATAATATCGGACGTTTTGTTGCCTTTTTTTCTCGCTTCTTGATTCAGTTTATGAGGAAAAAAGGAGAAGGAAGCGCAAAACTAAGATTTAAAACTTTTCCAGTTAAAAAAGAAATTCCTTCGACTTTCTAAAACTTTTTTACATTGAATTAGGTTTATGGTAACAATAAAGCATTTTTAACCCTCATAAATTACTTTTATGCATTTAGATCTACTTTATCACTTACACCCTTTATTGATACTTGTTAAATTTAGTGCGATTGGTTTTATAATAAAATATGTCGGCTTAGCCGTTAACCGTTTCTGCAAAGTTACGCTTGGAGATTAAAAAAGACACGAGATAAAGTAACACGTTGAGCACGGGCTGTTTATTAGTGTTGGTAATAGGTCTTGTAAACTTATGTCATGCGATTAGTGTCACGCGTGGTGTTGACTTAAAATTTGGGATCATTGAACACCCTCCTTGATTCCCGAATCAACTGCTTTCACGTTGGTAGGTAGTATATCATTCGACGAAGGAAATTACAATTTTTTAAGCGGAACGTTTAATTACGAAAAAATTTAAACGCGACACCACCGCTTCAGGTAAGGTCCGCTAGTTTGTTGCACCTTGTTAATAACGCTGACTTTGCATATTAGTAACCTTTTTGTACCTGTGGTGTAGCACATTTTAAGGAACTCCATTAAATACCCTGCATATGGCTTATACGAGACCGTGCATTTAATTTTCGTGTTATTTTTCCAGTGAGCAGAGACGCAAACATAAATTACGGTTTTGAGTGTTTAAAATGTGCGTATAGTTAATGTTAATAATTTTATTGGTAATTTATTTATTAAGTACATCAATTTAAACGCTCATTAAATCGTAAATCCAAATCAGCGTACTGTAGTCACCGTTTACTGTTATAATGCTATGTTTATGGTATATCTACCTATTAAATATATCAAATAAATTTAATAATACGAGTTGTAATCGACGAGTATTATTGAAAAATTAATTGAAGTTAATTCTCCAGTAGCTTCCTGATTTTCATTACCTACCATACAAGAATGGTGAAAACGCAGGCTGCACATAATGTTCCAGTTGTGGGGTTGCCAATATAATACAGTAATAAACCTATTTGATGTTAGAGATGAAGTGGTACTGCTCTTACTAGTTTTTTTTGCCAGTAATGGATGGCGTAAGACAAGCGGATTTTTGAGGTACCTACTTAACACGATTTAAACAAAATAGGGCAATTTTAAATTTAAGGGTACATGTGATATCTACAATACAAATTACTTCCTATTAAGCTAACCCTTAGTGTACAAACTCTAAAGTTTTCAATAATTTTTACCGAGATTTTTACATTTAATCACAATTCCTCCCTGGGATACGAAATAATTAGGCAAAGAAGGGAAGATAGGAAGGAACATATAAATTCCAGAACCTGTAATGATTTATAACTTTATAAATAACTGGACTCAAAATCTTGAAGTAGAGTCAAGGGCTTATGAAGAGTGTAGAAAGTTTCCAGGGTCTACAGAAGCTTTGCCGATTCTAAATGTTCGATGTACTTTCTTGAAACACTTTTGAATATGTACAGAATCAATCCAGAAACTATAGGCCACAATTCTTTCAGATATTGCAAACATTTTAGAAAGGATCCCGGAGATGATTTAACAGTTTTAAACACACACACACCATCTAATTTAAAACCTGGTATTCTCTAAAAATTGCAGACGCATCCTAAAGGCTCTGAAGGCTAAGGTTAAAAAAATAAAGGACTCCATAACCCGAAAAGATTCTAAAAGTTGTAAAAATCACGGGCATTTGAGGTCCAACATGGTTCGGTACACTAGACCAGTGCTTGAAAAATTAGAACTCTGAGAGTTGTATACAGAACATTCGAATAATGTGTAAAATATCACTCAAGTTGTGTAATTCTATACATTATTCGAATTTTCTTTATACAACTCTCAGGATTCGAACTAAAATTTACTATTTCGTAATGTGACAATGTTTGTCATTTCACTTACGCCGATTTTTGGGAAAACTTATTATTTTAGTGATACAAGCGACACATGTGTACTTAATTTTTTTAATTGCCCTTATTTCGACGTGTGCGGAATTTTCGAAAAATGTGATCTACCAAACAAAATATAAACAGTTTTGGGAAAGTGGGAGATACCCACACCTACAATACCAGGGGTAAGGACATCCATAATGAAGCACCCCCGCTCTTTTTTATAATTAATTCCCCTATATGATCGGTTCAATCATATTTTTCAAATTCTTTAAGTGACATGTTTCTACCGTTAGCCATTTTTATTGATTGGTATCGGCTGCCTTAGTTACCATGGATACAAGAAACAAAACAATCCTTCCATGGATCCATGGCCTACTATTTAAAAACCGTAAAAATGTTATGGATGTTATGTCAAATGCGAATATCTCCGAAACGAATCAATAGAATTAAAAAATCAAAGCAGATTAGTAATCACGATTAAATTGGCTTTCAAATAATGTGCCATGTGCCATAGGATTCCATTTAAAATTTTAGGGGTTAAGCTCCCTACGTAGAGGGGTGAAGACTTGGGTTCGTGATTTGTATTCCAAAACTTGTCCCCCTCGAATACAAAATTGACGTGTTCGAGGATTTTTCGAAATTTCTAAATTTAATACCCTAAAAGCCCTCTGTATACTTCTCGTTGGGCCACCCTGTATATAAATGATACAAAATCTGTTAAAACTACTGCTCGCATTCTAGCAAAACTAGATTATAAAGTTTGTAGCCAATTTTACATATTACTTTCTTTCTCTTCATTATATGAGCACTCTTCAATAACCGTGTTATTTATTTTTATCATATATATACAAGGAGAAACTTTAATAAGAGCAGTTTATCAGTTATTTAATAATTAAATTTGCCCTATATTCATTTCATTTTTATGAATTCAATAATTCATTTCAGGACACCTCATCTGGCCATATTTTCCTTTGCTCCGGAAAACATCCACTTTCCCGCCTTGGTACATAAATAAGTACTATTTTTTCATAATATGAAGTTATCGTTTTTCATAAAATAAGAGTGCGTGACTTCCGATTCTATAGCCCCAAGTTTGCCATTTTGTAAAAGCATGTAGAAATCAAATGACAGGATCAGGTGGAAGGATGGAATCCGGTTCTTTACAATCGGAAGAAAAAACTTTAATGGCGTTTGTAGTTTGCATTTTTGTGGATAAAAAGATAATGTGAAAATTAAATTGGAAAATTAGAGTAAAATTAAGCACAATACTTTCACCGTTGCTAGCATAGAAAACCATGAACTTTGGCCTGCTACTTACTACCCCTAGAACCAGATGTACGTGAGGTTGGAACATCAAATTAGAGCCTAATGTACATATGACCCTAGCGATTAAACGATAGTGTAGAAAAGGTAATTGTTTTATCGTGATTTTGATCCAACGAATGGTTTCGCCTTAAGATACAGTTAAAAATTAGTGCATTTCCACTAGTTATAAAAACAACAGCTTTGGTATTGTAACTTACCATAAAGGTCGTCACTGTCACTGATTATTCTTCGTCAGGATGAAGACATGTTCATCTGGAAAAGAAAAGAAGTAGTGAAAAAAAAATCAAGAAAGAATAAATTTTGGAATATTATCTTGAAATCACAAGGTCGTGACTACCATTTTCATTCCGTACGAAACTAGGTACTTTCCGCAAATTTCACAAAAGCAGTAATGGAATACATCCACGTTCCCATGACTGTTCAAGTCTTCTATTTTATTCCCTTAAACAGGACGGCAGTCCTATACATTTAAATCGTATGGTAAATCATTTGGAAGCTCATTCACCTTTAATCGTATCCCATATTAATTTTTATTAAGCACAGCTATGCAAGCTTTTTGGGGGAGTCTATGTGTCTGTCTGTCTCGCTTTGGGCGTTTGGCCCTCTGTCCGTGTGTCCGTCCGTCTGTTTGTCTATCAGCTGTATTAAGCTATTTCTCACCCCTGTGGTGGGTAGTTCGGGTAACATTTCTACGTGTACGTGCACTGAAATGGGATGCCTAGAATTGAAAATGTTTGGGATTGAAAACAGGTCGGATTCGAACATTTTGTCGACCGACTGCTAGTAGGATTTAGCAACCGCTGCTGAATACTTTTATCTTCAAACAAATTTCTTTGTTTTAGGACTTCACCATTATTATTGTAGCAGTAGATATAGATTTAGGCAAAAATGATAAAGAAATATATCAACGCGATCCTTGTCCCACTCATCTACAATTCAACCTTGATGGTTTTATGATCAGAATGTTTTGATTAAATCGTGCACCAAGACCATCGCTGGAACGAGCACGAGCGCAGCTTAAGACAAAAAACATGTGATTACTTTGTACGCAAATCAGATTAAACAAAACCAATTACACGTAATCGTATTCTTAAAAGCGTGTACGGTTGATGGTTTACATCTAAAAAAAAACTTGTTAAAGAAAATTTATAGGGGGGTCACTTACTTTTTATGATTAATACGTTTTAATTGTTTAAGGTTATGCAGAACGATTTTGAAGATAATTTAAAGTGAAAAGTTATTCTTATTATAGGTAACAGGTAGGTGTTAAGTTTTGAACCTCCCTGGCCGTGACGAAGCTATCTACAAGTCCATCAATTAAATGTAAACCGACAGCTGTTAGTTCGTCACAGGTGACGTCTCACACATGTCATCCGCCCATACGTCTGTTGATACGCTCATTGTTTTTAATTTAATAATTAATAAATGCCAAAGAAGTGTTGATGGCAAAGCGTAACACTCATTTATTTTTTCACACGTTTCGAGATCGGGATTCCTTTTATTTACGTCTCAATCATATTTCGTCGTTCAATTTTTTTATATTAAAGAATGCTTGTAGTGGACGTGCAAGTATGAAAAGGCGGTATCGAGTAGTTTTAGATTTTCACGGCACGAAACGCGAAAGCTCCCGCTGGGACGGAACGTAATTATCGGCGAGGTGATTGACGATTGCTCTCGGTCGGTAAATCGACACCCCCTAAACCGGCCCTGGTGGCACACCGCAAAGAAATTCCAAGGAGATTCAACTTTTTTGAATATCTTCGACGTTACGCAATCGTAAATATCTGCGTTCCCCAAATTGATACGAGTACACAACAGTAATGTGGAATTACGCTAAAATGGCTTACTCATTGATTCTAATAAATTAAATTATGTAGGTAATTATGTAACACTAAATACAATTAATTGGTACGTTATGTGGTTAGACAGAAAATTATAATATTGCCGGCATACTGTTTGACAACCACTATTTAAGGTGTTAAAAACACTGTTAAGTCTTCCTGGCCGATCTAAAAATAACCCAACGTTTGTGACTTGCGTATTTTTTCGACTAATTTTTTTTTGGGTTCGTTACTCATTTGTAACCATCTACCTACTCCTCCTAAAATTGGACGGGTTAAGTTTAATAAAATGCAAATTGTAATTATGGAAAGGTAGCGTATATCAATCAATTATAGGTGTTAAGGGATAATTTGTTTTTTTTCATTATTGTTAATACTAATAGTGAAATAAAAATAAAAGCTTCATTATTTTATGGTATGTATTATCACCGTCTTGACAATAACGCATAAGAATTCGATACACGAAAATGTATTTTAATAATTACTTTTCCAAATGATACAGTCCCCGCAGTTACTAAGGCTACAAGTATAAATTGAAACAACCTACTTAATATGGCACTGCATACTTAATTATACAGGGTGTAGAATTGGTTTAAGCACCATAGGGATTTCAATGCTAATTTTTTTATATTGGAATGTTTTCTTCCCTAATTAATTTAGAGTAAATTTGTAAATAAGGTTCTTGTAGCTTGAAAAATTCTGCGTGGGTAAGGTTAAGACACAAAAAACTATCACAAGAGAAATCAGCGTAATACAAGAGTCGTTGGCTGTGACACTAAATTTCGTGTAAAATACAGCAGGAAGTATTCAGATTCAACCCTCCATACCTACTGTTAGAGCTATGAGCACATCGGGGGGTGCCCGGTACTGACACGCATTCAGCATCAGGATTCAGGGTATCGTACATTTTTCCTGAGTACTGATTTCAGACATTTACAGTAGTAGGTACCACTATAAAAAGTCTTAATAATTTTTCCAAAAAAAAGCCTTCGTCAGTAAAACTTTACCGCAATTGGAATATAACTAAATCTTAAACACCTACAAGATTAAAGCGAGATAGGAAGAGAGGTTTCCCCATAAATTAATTTTTAAAATATACGATTACATGACGTATAAGTTAATATTATAAATATCTAGGTGCCTTCCATCGTAAATCAACTGTAAACGTATACACAGTTCACAAAATTAACAACCGCGTCTACTGTTTTACGTGATAAAATTAATAAAAACCACTTTGGCTACCTGTTATTTAATCTTATATCCTCGAAACTGCTACCGTTTTATTTTTAAGTTACGTACCATCTTAACATTACACTCTAAGGCAATTAGTCAAATTCATTCCCCAAAAAATTATTTATTCATACAACTTTTTACTTACATTATTCATGGACCATGCTACAAATACAGTTTTTCAAGATAAATGCCCGTAAACACATTCATCTTGCACTCGGAGTTTATTGTAGATTAGGTCAAGATAATAAGAGTGGAGTATCATAAATTTCATTTTCGGAATACCTATAAGATTCAATATTTTATACTGAATTTGTCTTGTTATATGGGGCGCACTATAAAGAATGCGGCTCGTGAATTTCAACATAATTTAAAACTTAAAAATCTCGCTGAATTCCTAAGACACTAATTACAATCCTGACACCTGTCAACTCCTTCATTGTGACAAAGGTCAACTTTTTCTCTTACAGTTCTGGAACGATCATCAATACTTCTGAAGTAGTCTGATCACTGCTTTTTGCCTCGGATAAGCCATAGGTTACTTGTTTCTTTTCGGTTGAACATTATAACAAACAAAATTATATAGGAATTAATACATATAAGTAAAATGAACGTGAAGAGCAGTGAATATAAACAACTAAATAATAACTTAACGTGCGATTTATATGATAAAGATAAATATATAAGATAGAAACAATACATGAAGTGTTATGTATTAGAGAAGCTAAATAACTAACCTAACCTAAACTAACTCAACTGCAAATATTAAAAGAAGAGAAGATAAGTTAAAGAAAAACAGGTGTAGTGCAATACGTTTTGTAAGTGCGTTGTTCTTTCGCAATTAAGATTTCATTAATTTATTTAATTGTTATCGAACAATTATGCGGGGTATGTAAACGGACCTTGTTATATAAATCGTGTGTTTATTCGAACCCAGATAAAGGTCTCATGGATAATTGTAATTAATTGTTTTGATCCGTACCCAAAGTATATTTCAAGTGTCTTAAAAACTTGTTTAAGTAATCATTTTGTAATTTATGAATTTGATCGTGGCCATTATGTGCCTTAGAATTTGGAATTTGAAGTCAAGATTGAAATTTTTCATTGTGCTGGGATTCAGATGTGTGCTGGAAAATTTTAATAAGAAAAACAAACTAGGTTTAAGGTGTTTTGTGTATGGTTCACTTTAGTCGGGCCATTGCACACAACATTATTTTATTTTCTCGCCCAACGTGGGACATTGCACTTATTTTTTATGCGGCGTGAATGTTAGGGTCACACGTCACATATTTATCGAAACGTATTTACGCAAATGGAGATTTTTTTTCATTGTTTAGAGATAAAGTTATTTTCATAGAATTCCTTATGTGGTTAACCACGTTTCTGTTTTAGGTTATGCTATATGTGTTAATTTAATTACCTATTTTTCTTTTATCTATATCGCAATCCGAAACTCATTTATTAATGGGGTATTTAAGTTTGAATTAATTGGATTTTAGTCTGAAATTGGTGTTGTAGTTTTTTGGACGTGTCCTGTAACGACCATTAAACAATACCATTTTCTTATGGAATGCTAACACTAGTTCACCAACCTAGATTGATATGTGCTGCTTGGCTGGACTTCATCTAAGCATAGTAAAATTGTCTTATAATGAAATTTTTGAAATGTCGCAGCAGCTGCCAAAGTGCAGGTAATCTTTAATTACCTTTGTCACTTTATCCAGAAATGCCCAAAACCATTTGAAGGAGAGGCCGTATAACAAAATTAGAAAATGAGCAAATTACAGTACTCTTTCTTCCTGCAGTTAATAACTCAGGTTAGATTAGACTTGAGCAGTTTACCTTACATTCTATAAAGTAAGTAAGATTCGGTTTGCAGTTCCATTTGGTACGAAAATTTATTACCTACTTTAATTCCATATTCGGTTCGCAAAACAAATCAACCAGAGAACCAAGTTATTTAATTCACAGCCCTTGGCAGAATGAAAAATTTTATTATCCGAATCTGAATTCGAATCAACCCCCTTCGTTAATGTAGTTGATGTTCAATTTAGTATAACCATTGAATAAAAACACTTATTTTTTATTCAATGGTATAACTGAGGGCAACTCCTTATATACGAACATTTAAAGTACATACAGATACATGTAATATTAGCTAAATAAAATTGCAGATTGTGC